GTATAAAAAGTATATTGATTTTATAGAAATTAAGTACTTAATTATGTTTTCCAACAAATCTTAAAATCTGCCCCATTCACACTCAGGCACTCACCCTCTAGGCTTCTAGAAGCTTTATGAAACTTTAGATATCTTTACTCGACTTTAAGTAGTAGTAAATTACAAAGTTTGACCCAAAGGTTTTATCCTTTTATGAAAAAGGTCTTTAATCTTTAAAATTCATGATTAGGGTTTTATTGGTTTTAAGGGTACTTGTGCAATGCATCGAGACATATCTTGATTTTAATGTTTCGTTTGATTTCTTATATATGTCGATATAATACGGTTTTATATGATTTTGAGAAAATGATAATGTTTTTATTGAATAAAATATAAATTTGAAAATATTATAAAATTTTGAAAAAAATAATAATATATCGATATCACTATCAATTTTTTTTAAAGTTTTTGTGTTTTTGTGTAATTTCCTTAATTCAGTTTTTTAATTATAATTTAATTTAGGTTTAGTAACAAAAAAAATTAATTTAGGTTTAATAATATAATTTTTTATAAAGATAATAACTAAGTATTCTGTTAAAACTCATGATTATCCTAATTATATTTTAAACTTTTTATATTAAAAATGAGATGTTTATCCAATATTTGATTATGTTTATCAGCAGTTAGTTACACGAATTCAAATATGGAGCTCTAATAAATTGTACTTATGCACAATTTACTTGTAATCTTAAATTAATGTAATATGCATCAATACTTCGTGCATAAAAATAGTTTTTAAGAATTTTTATCAAATGCTTTATAATATAATATAGATTATGAAGAAGGTTTGTAATTCTTAAAATGGGTTTTATTGGTTTTACTTCCGTTATGTATAAGGTCCTTTTTTTCCTAACTCTCAATAAAAAAAACTCTATTATGATAGATATTTTGTCATTTTACCTTTTTATTTTATACGTTCTTTGTTGTACAAATTTGGGTGGTAATTCTAGAACTTTTGGTACATATAAGGAAATAAACTAAACAAAAAGGGTTCCCTCCCCATCTTCATCCCCATTCCATTTCCAGCCCAACCACAATCTCCAGCGAACTGGAGCCACCCATCACCACCACCATCATTAATCCCTTCTATTAGGGTTCTACAAAAGTCACCCTCTTTGGTGATGCGTATATTGATCTTCCTTTATAATACAATAAATAAGGAAATACAAAACAAACTTTCCTAAGTTATAGGATCTTGTCAATAAGCTCTATCACCCCCCGTAAGGGAAGTGGGGGAGGTCCAACACGAACCTTGGTGTGAAATTCTTTAAAAAGAGGACGAGGAAGACTTTTTGCAAAAATATCGGCTGTTGAAGATGAGTAGGAACAAACTTAATAAGAAGTTGTCCAGATAGAACCAGTTCCCTAACAAAGTCATAATCCATGTCAAAGTGTTTTGTGGGAAATTGGATTTTGTGTTGATCATCTCTCTCAGTGATTTGATGATAATCCCTTTTCACTTATATACGAAGTATTTATGTTTCTGTCTTTTCAGTTCCAGCAATCTTCACTGAGTCTGTTCAGTGATCGCTGAATAACTTGTATTGTAATTCAATCAACGACATCGATACTTCAAGAAGACAACACTCACACCAAAGAACCTTCAGCCAATGTCGAAGACTGAAATTGAAGATTAGAGACTGACGAGTGCATGATCTGAAGCGGTATTCAGTGATTACAAGTCTGTCTACATATGTGTGAAGACTGCCCAAGCCTCAGCTAATGCTGAAGAGACCTTCAGGTTATTCCAGCATCCAGCGATCAAATGTAGCTTGCAAAGCATGATTGTTGTTGTATTGTCCTTATACACACAAAGGACAAACTCATACCCTTTCTAAATGTTAGTACGGTACGGAGCCGACTAGTTGACTCTACTATCCACCAACTTTGTTAAAGGATGTCTGCTCATGAATAGTCTTTTTGTACTATTCACTGTAGCAAAGGACAAGTCTTCCCCTTAAGGCCTGACACGCACTCTAACCTACCATATTGCATTAAATGTGCATTTAATGCAATAGGTATAAATAGAAGTGTTTCCTCTTCATGGAGAGTGCGCGCGCAACACACTCTCTTAACCTAATTCTTACTTCGAGCATCCTTGAGCTTAAATAAAAGAACTTACTCTCTTCTATAGCAAATCTTTTCTTATTTGCTAAGATTTAATGTGTAACTAAAGATTGTTTAGATAGGTTTTTCTTACCTTATCTTTCCGCAAACAGTCTTGTAAATTTTGTATTGATCTTCTCGTATCAATATACATTTTAAATTTGAAAATTTTGTGTTTGTATTCATCCTTCCTTCTACAAACTGTTATACATATCTTGTAGACCCTTACGGGACCAACATTTTGACTGAGAAATAATGCACTTCGATTGTCGCATAGAATAGTGGGATGAGAAGAGGCAAAACCTACAACTCTTGTAGCAGATGAGTAATCCAAACAATTTCAGCAGCCGTAATCGCCAACGCTCGGTACTCAGATTCACAGCTAGAACAAGAAACAGTAGGTTGTTTCTTCGCACTCCAAGAAACAAGGTTTCCATCTAGCAAAATGGAATACCCATACGTTGAACGTCGTATCTCAGTGCAATATGTCCAATCTGCATCAGAGTAGCCAATAACAGTTGGTGAGGACGAATGTAGAAAGGTGAGACCATATGATAAGGTGTCCTTAACATAATGGAGAATGCGTTTAACATCTTGAAAGTGATCTTTAGTTGGAGCATGAAGGAATTGGCTAACTTGACGCAAAGCCTGGTGATGGTGAGATATTGAAGAGCTCCAGCCAATGATCGATATAACGTTGAATCCAAAAAGGGAATACCTTGGGTGGTAAAGTAAGTCGCAGTTGAAAGAGGAGTACCAACAGGCTTTGCGTAATGTAATTTTAGCCCGAGTAAGAATGTCGTGGGCGTACTTGGACTGGCTGAGAAATAAACCCTTGTCAGTGTAAGAAACTTCCAACCCTAAGATGTAATTCAGGCGACCAAGATCAGTAATAGAGAATTTTTTGTTGAGCCGAGAAATGAAGCTGTGTATTGTTGGTGCATGGTTGCCAAAAAGTATGATGCCATCGACATATACCAAAACATAAAGAACACATGAATCACGTTTGAAGACAAATAAAGAGGTGTCAGCTCTGCTGCAAGTGAAACCAAGGGTAATGAGAAACGTGTTGAGGCTTTGAAACCAGGCACGTGGAGCTTGTTTGAGCCCATATAGCGCTTTTTTGAGATGACATACGTGATTTGGGAAGCGAGGATCAATAAAACCAGGTGTTTGTTCCATCAACATAGTGTCCGTCAGAGTGCCATTTAGAAAGGCGTTTTTAACGTCTAGTTGATGAAGTTCCCATTTGTTAAGCATAGCAAAGGAAAGAACAATACGAACTGTAGATGCTTTGACAACTAGACTAAAGGTAGCAGAGTAATCGAGACCTGGTACTTGAGTGAAACCTTGCGTAACAAGACGTGCTTTAAACCGATCAACTGTAACATAAACATGAAATTTGGTGCGGAAAACCCATTTTAAGCCAACAATATTTGAGTTTTTAGGATGGGACCAAGTTTCCAAGTCGCATTCTGATGCAATGCAGCCATTTCCTTAGACATGGCATCAAACCACTTAGGATGTTTGGCAGCAGATTTGAAGCCTCGTGGTTCTTTAGTAGCAAATAATGCTTGATAAAGAGCCGATGATGAGAGTTGTGATAAATAGGCAATGTGACGAGGTTTAAAGATGCCAACCCGAGACCTTGTGATCATCGGATGACTAAAAGAAGTTGGGGGGGGGGRGGGGGGGTCGAGGGCCTTGTTGTTGTGAACCACCACTGATAAGTCCTTGAATCTCGTATGGCAAATCTGGTCTTGATGTGATAACAGAGAAGATGAAGTCAGGGCCGAAAACAGATTGATGTTTGTGGTTTGTTCGCTGGAGAAAGAGACCGGAAGGGGGATCGATGTTAGTGAGTTGTTCTCCGACAAGGCAGATTGATGTTAGTGGTTTCTTCATCTTTCCCAACCTCCATTTTCGTTCATAGGCAGATCCACTGGCCCTCACCTGGTTCTCCGACAAAGCAGATCCATCACTATAAAAGCTTTGATTTTGTCTTCAACAACGCTTCGCCTTTTTGTAGTTTATTTAGTATTATGTATTTGATTTTATTGCATTTGATTTGGTTTGTTGTTCAAAAAGGCATGTTCTCAATGGGTTATTGGATTTGTTTTGATTTTGAGTATGGATTTTGGTTTGAATTTAATATTGATTTTTCATGTTTTGTTCTTTGATTTTGATTTTCAGTTTTAATTATTAGAGTTTGGATTTGAGTTGATTTATTGTGTTGGGTTATGTTTGATGTGTGATCTAGTGTGATGTGGTAGTGGCCGGAGAAAATGATCAGAGAAGGGAAAGGGGTGGGGTGTCTCACCGGAGAATATGAACAAGATGGAGTAAATTACATTCTAGGCCTTGTGGTTTAATGAATAAATAGAGTAAATTAAATGAAAATAAAATATAAATTAAATGACTAAAATATCCCTCTAAATTAACTAAGTTAACATAACTTTTTGGATGAAGTTTAGGGACCCAATACGTTATAAAATGCAAACCAGAGGGATGTAACTCATATATTTCAAAATCGAAACCCAAAGTGTTAAAACAGATAAACAACTTGATTTACTCTAGAAACAAACATAAATTAACAATTTCTTGACCAACGAAAAATAAATGTTCACAACCATAATTAAACAAACGATCCTTATGTACTAAATAAACTTAGGAGCCGTTTATCAAATGCTTACTCGGGTAAGCGCTTACCAAGTCAAATTAACTCATCGGATAATATGGTAAGGACCAAGAATCTTACCCGATAAGAACAAGAAAATGAATACACCCTACACTTTACAATCTTGGCCTATATATACTACCACAACCAAGTCTTCTCTCCATAACATCATTCAAAGATGAAGCTTCTTATTGTTCTTCACGTTTTCTTCTTCTTTCATCTTCACTTCTCAAATGGGTTTTCCGATCTTGATGCACTCTTGAAGCTYAAAGCTTCAATGGTGGTGCCACCAACTGCGTCTCGGTTAGATGAYTGGGAACCACCTCAACCTAACTCCAATGTTCCYGATTCACATTGTTCGTTTTCAGGAGTTTCGTGTGATGAAAACTCTCGTGTCACGTCGTTGATCATCTCAAATGTTCCTCTCTATGGAACCATCCCGCCGGAGATTGGGATTTTAAACAAGCTTGTTWATCTCACGCTYGTGTCTGCCARTCTCAMCGGTGAACTTCCGGTGGAGATGTGTAATCTCACTTCCATCAAGTTYATTAACCTCTCTWYYAATTCAYTGATTGGAGTGTTTCCYGGTGAGATCATRACGACCATGACGGAGCTTCAAGTGCTCGACGTTTATAATAATAATTTCACCGGGAAGTTGCCGTTGGAGTTCGTGAAGCTGAAGAATCTGAAAAAACTTTTTCTGGGAGGTAGTTTTTTCAGCGGGGAGATTCCGGACGTTTACTCGGAGTTTCTGAGTTTGCAGAGCCTCGGATTGCAAGGTAACCAACTTTCCGGAAGGATTCCGTGGAGTTTGTCAAGGTTATCGACGCTTGAGGAGCTTTTGCTCGGATACGACAATAGCTATGACGGTGGAATTCCGCCGGAATTTGGATCGTTCAAATCGTTAAAACTTCTCGATATTGGAGGTAGTAATCTCACCGGTCAGATACCGGAGAGCCTTGGGAATTTGAAGATGTTACACACACTATTTCTTCAATGCAACAATTTCACTGGAGAAATACCACCAACCTTGGCAGGATTGGTCAGTTTGAAGTCACTTGATCTCTCTAACAATAATCTCACCGGAGGAATACCGGAGAGTTTCTCAGAATTGAAGAATTTGACGTTGTTGAATCTGTTCCTCAACCATCTCGCCGGTCCTCTTCCTCCGTTCATCGGGGATCTCCCGAATCTGGAGGTGCTTCAGTTATGGGAGAACAATTTCACGTTTTCACTACCGGAGAATCTTGGCCGGAACGGCAAGCTTCTTGAACTCGACGTCACCGGAAACCATCTCACTGGAACAATCCCAGAAGATTTATGCGAAGGAGGTAATATATATTATTCTGCATTGGTTTGTATTTAGTTTTTCTAAAACTGGTAATATTTTAGAGTGAACTACAAATTGGTCCTTGTGGTTTGTTGAAAATAACATTTTTGATCCTTGCACTTACGAAATTACAAGATGGTCATCATTATTTATAAAGACGTTTGAACTTGATAACTTCATCTAATGGCCATTTACAAATCCCGTTAATGAGGGATATTTTCGTTTTTTTGTCAATTTTTTGTCTTTTATCAAATCAAAACAATGTGGCACTAAAATCATAAATTGATTTTGATTAGGTAAAAGAAAAAAAATCGTTATCAGAAATTTTTTAATAGCCATTAGAAGAAGTGATTAAATCCATATGTTTTTACAAACCGAGATAGCCACCTTGTAGTTTTGAAAGTGTAGGGACAAAAAGTGTTATTTCTGACAAGCCTAGGGACCAAATTTGTAGTTTACTCAATATTTTATGTAGTTTATAAATTGAATGACAAATTAAGGCGTCGTTTACCAAACACCGGTAAGTACCTATCGATAAAATTTAATACTATTAGTTACTTACAAGATAAAATTTTAATCCATCAAAACGAGATTGTATGCAACAATTCACCCGGTAAGTACTTATCATGGTAAGAGTTGTTGGATTCACTTACCGGGTAAGACTAATGGTCTTTGTCTCGTTCTTACGAGGTGAAATTCTTAATACTTACCATATTCATCCAGTGAGGTAATGCAACTTGATAAGCGTTTATCCGGGTAAGTGTTTGGTAAACAGACCCTAAATTGAAATGGAAAAACATTTTGCTAGCTGTTTGTACAAACATAAAGTTTTGTCTTATTACTTTAATCGATTTCAAGTAAATCATGATTACACCAAATAATCGATGACACTAAAATTAACATCACTTTTCTCGCACTACTACTACTACTACTACTAGTAGTAATGGCCAAACCGGCCTGACCCTGGACCGACGGAGAACCAGAACCGGGACCGGCAAAGGATCGGCTCGGCACGGGACCGGTTCAGGGACCGCCGACCGGGACCAGTTATGCTTTTGAACGAATTTGTGGGACCGGCACGCCTAGGACCGGGACAGGTTATGGGACCGAGAACAGTTATAGGACCGGCCTGGCCTGGCTTGGCTAGCCTAGTGAGTTAAAAAAAAAGAGTCATTTTTTGGTCGTTGGGAACGTTTATATGACCCTTTTTTTGCAAATTTTGACCCCTTTTTTTGTTTTTTTGGCCGTCTAAACAATATATACAAGTGTCATGGAGTATGATGTAAGATACCAACTTACAAAACGCAAAAAAAAAAACGTTCACAATAAAACGTATTTTTAAAGTGTCATAGAGCATGGTGTCATTGAATATTTGAATGTAATTTTAATTATAATAAAACGTATTTTTAAAATGTATTTGAGTGACTCAATTACAAAGTTTATAATGTATTGAAAAAATATATCATTAAAAAAATTTGGGTAGGGACCAGGATCAGTTACCCGGAGTTAAACGGACTCGGGTTTGATGACCGAGACGGGTTATGAGATCACTGTTTCGGCTCGGGTAGGCCCGACCCGACCCGACCCGACCCGACCAGGGACTGAATTTTGGCCATCAATAGCTACTAGTGGGCATCAACTCTACCAAATAGTCTGCTTGTTGATGCAAAGGCTACTACAATGATGCATTTGCTTCTATTTCTTCAACATGGGTCTTATAATTTCAACCTCAAAGACTTGTTATAATAAACTTATTATCCTTTTAATGTGTTAATCTGCTGAGTTTTGATCTATAATTGATCTGTTTGACGATGTCCTTCACTTTCAGGGAGGTTACGATCTTTGATTCTAATGGAAAATTATTTCTYCGGGCCRCTAYCGGAAAAACTTGGTGGATGCAAGTCCTTAGAAAAGATTCGAATCATGAAGAATTCTTTCAACGGAACCATCCCTGCCGGCCTGTTCAACTTACCGGCACTAACCCTGCTCGAGCTTGACGACAACTATTTCAGCAATGAACTTCCGATGGAAATGTACAGCCAGTCCCTTCAACGTATTTCAATATCTAACAACCAGATCACCGGAAATATACCTCCAGGGATAGRTGGTTTGGKGAATTTAACAACYGTTTCCCTCCAATCTAACAGTTTAGTCGGTGGAATTCCCARAGAGATATTTAAYCTCAAAAAATTGTATAGTATTAATCTCAGCGACAACAAACTCACCGATGTGATTCCGGTTTTCAATGGAAACTGTTCTGAGCTAATTTCCGTTGATTTTAGCCGGAATGGCTTGGTCGGTGAGATTCCTGGAGGAATATTGAGTTTGCCAAACTTGAATATCCTTAACGTCTCTCGTAACCAACTATTTGGTGTGATCCCGAGCAAATTAGGTGAGATGAAGAGCTTGACAGTTCTAGATCTATCATACAATCACTTCTCCGGCAGAGTCCCTTCCAATGGACTACTAAAAGATTTCAGTGATAGCATCTTCGCTGGAAACCCTAACCTTCGGACATTGCACGTTGCTCATAGCCCTGTCAAATCGAAGTTCAAGAGTCATTCAATCACCAAATCGAAACTAATGATCCTAATTTTCTCCATAATCGCGATCATATCGGTAATCACAGTTGTAGTCACAGTTGTATTCATCCGAATTAGGAAGAATAAACGCATCGAGAAGTCTGAAACATGGAAACTAATCGCGTTTCAAAGGTTAGATTTCAAAATCGAAGATGTTCTTGGCTCCTTGAAAGAGGAGAACGTGATTGGCAAAGGCGGTGCTGGGATCGTGTACCGTGGCTCAATGCCAAATGGTGTCGATGTTGCTATCAAACGTCTGATCACCAGAAAACATGGATTCGATGCCGAGATCCAAACGTTAGGAAGAATCAAGCATCGAAACATCGTGAGATTACTCGGACATGCATCAAATCAAGAAAGCAATATACTCCTTTACGAGTACATGCCTCATGGGAGTTTAGGTGAGATATTGCACGGATCCGAAGGGGTACATTTACAATGGGAAAAGAGGTACAAAATTGCGGTGGAAGCCGCCAAGGGATTGTGTTACCTCCACCACGATTGCTCGCCGTTGATCATACATCGAGACGTGAAATCGAACAACATTCTATTGGATTCGGATTATGAGGCTCATGTTGCTGATTTTGGGTTAGCCAAGTACTTGCGGGCTGGTGGTGTTTCGGAGTGCATGTCTTGTATTTGTGGATCATTCGGATATATTGCACCAGGTACAAGTCTCCGGTCCCAAACTCTCACGTTTCAGTCCACCAATCACATGAATACACATCATCAGAATATGAACTTGAATAAAGTAAATCTAAAATATATGAAAAAATATAGTAAAGATATGATCTACTTCTCAAAGTGCTTTATGAATTGGGCTAAGTACATTGTGTCTCGGTTTTCGTACGTTTGTTAAAAAGTTCTCATAAGTGTACCAATTTTTTTTCTTCTTGATGATAGAATACACATACACGTTAAACGTGGATGAAAAGAGTGACGTTTATAGCTTTGGAGTTGTACTGCTGGAACTAATAACCGGTAAAAAGCCAGTTGGAGAGTTTGGAGAGGGGGTGAATATCGTAAGATGGGTTAGAAAGATGATCTCAAAAATCCCTCGGCCATCCTATGAGATTGTCGTGCTATCAGTGTTGGATTCAAGGCTCAAGGGGTACATACTATCAAGCGTCATAGATATGTTCAAGATTGCGATGATGTGTGTGGAGGACGAGCGAAGAGCTCGACCTACCATGAAGGAAGTCGTTTACGTGCTAACAAAACCCTCAACCGAATCCATCTTGCTTGCTAACACGTTGAATGAATATGCTTCTGGTGGTGAAGATGTGTTATACCATGGACAAACTGTTTAGATTTGAATTCATCCTGAATGCTAGTGAAATGGATTCATCGTCTATTTGTAAAAAATACAAAACTAGTCTCTCTATATTTTCCTATATTTGCTTCTTAATTTGTACTATCTTTTGAAAAAAGAAAGAGTTAAATGCATGAAATAGTAACCTACTTTTATAATTTTTCTTATTATAGCATTCTACTTTTGTTTTTCTTTATTACAACAATGTACTTTTAAATTATTTTTTTATTAAGACATCGTACTTTAAAAAATCTACCCATTATAGCAATGAGTAACCTATTACCTTTGATGTGGATGACATATCATTTTGATAACTTAATTAAAATAAAAATAAAAACTAATTTTAAATTATTATTAGTGATTTTCATTTTTCATTGCTACGATTTTAAAAAAACATTTAATTTTTTGATTTTTTCTTATTAAGTTGCATGCAAATTAAATATTATAAAGTAAAATATTCCTTAAATAAATATATTATATTATTTTTTGAGATATATTTTGTTTGTAAAAATGTAGCAATTCTTATTTTATGTTGTTCAAAAATATACATATCTTTTAAAGTTCTCTTTAAAATGTTAACGAAATAAATTATGTTCCACAATTTTTTAATATTTTTATATTAATAAATTATTCAAAAAAATCTAATTAATTTAATATATTTATACGCCAAGTAAAAGTTTTTAAACAAATATATTATATTCTTTAAAA